CTCTTTCCACACATATTAAGCTGTCATTATCCTGACACATGAGTTTTCTCACTTCCTATTTTCTCCCCCTGTTCTGCTGGGGAAGGGGAAGTGTGGGTGTTTGGCTGCTGGCAAGGGTCCACCCACCACATTATTCTGCTCTAAAAAGTGGTCCATAGGGGAGTTGTGAACACAGTGTTTCCTATCCATAATTCTCTCAGAGGGTCTTTTCACCTGAAAGCAGTCTCCCCATGAATAGCTGGAGGTGTGTGACCCACAGGACCTAATATGTGCTGGTGGGGCTGCTGCTGCTGCAGACTTGCAGTGTTACCCAGGACCACGTCCTGGTTTGAGCTAAATAGAACTAATTTTCTATTTAGTGATTTTACTTTTCAGCTCAGTCTCTTTTAAGTGACTGAACTTGCTGAAAACTGGCAGCATGTTTTTCCCAAACAGCGCTGCTAGAAGATATGCTCAAGGTCAGTTGTCTCATCATGAGTGCTGTGTCTGCACCTATGGGGGAAGAAGCGGACCCAAAACTGACCAACTAGGTATTCCATCCCACATACGTCATACTCGGTATAAAACCGAGAGATCACGAGGGTCTCGTGCCTTTGCCCTTTTCACTGTTCCTTCCATCTCGACCCTTCGGTCCATCTCGATCCTGCAGAGGCCAAGGCCTGAGCAGAATCCTGCTTGTCTGTCTGCCACTGATCCTGATTTGTGTGTCCTGCATCCTGCTCCCACCTGCTGCTGAGTTTGGTCTGGGACTTTTCCAGTGCCCGGCTCTGCAGAGCCTCTGGTGACGTATTTGTCACTGGGGGGGAAGGGTGGGGGGAGGATTTTATATTGGTTTTGTATATATTTGTACATATTTGTATATATTTCATTATTTTCCTATTTACCATATTATCTGTAGTATTAGTATTATTGTTTCATTCAATCTGTTAGTTTATTTTCCAACCCGTAAAGTCTCTCTCCCTTACTCTCTTTTCTCTTCCCTTCTGTGGGAAGGGGAAAGGGGTTAATAGAGAGTGTCTGTCCAGGATTTAGTGGCCGGCCCAGCCCTAAACCACGACAGACCACCAACCTGAATATGGCCTTGCCACCAGCCCCAACACCTACAGGACTGCATGGTCAGAAGTGATAAATGGAATCTACATCCATGTGTTCAAAGGATGCAGATTCCTAAAACAAAACCTGGAATGGGAAGAAACCCAGCCTCTTTCCCACAGAGATGTCCAGGTTGGGGCTGTGGGAAAGGGCCTGAGCTTGGTGGACAGGTGATAATTAAAGGCAGTGTGAGGAAGTGCGTGGTGATGGTGGTGGGTCTGAGCAGTGTTGAGCACCCCAGGCAACATGCATGGGACATCAGCTTCCAACTCCTGGCTATGGAACCCAGGGCACTGGGCACCCAGCGTGAGACAGCACCAGCCTTCATAGCACCCAGAACTGCTGAGGGCTTGGGCTGCAGGGACTTAATTACGAATTGCTAAAGCTGGGAGCAGAAATTGGAAGCAACACAAGCGTGAGGGTCATTAGGGGCAGTCAACATGGCT